ACTGTATGATCTCACTTATATGTAGAATTGGAAAAAAACCCTCACAGAAACAGAAATCACATTTGTGGTTGCCAAAGGAAGGGGGTGGGGGAAATGGGTGAAGTGGTGAAAAGGTACAAACTTCCAGCCATGAGATAAATAAGTTCTGCGGGTGCAATGTACAGCCGGTGGTTACTACGGTTAACACCACTGTATCATACATTTGAAAACTGCTGAGAGTAGATCTCAAAAGTTCTCATAACAAGAAGAAAACATCACTCTGAGCTAATGGCCATTGACTTAATCTGGTGATCATTTCTTAACATACATATATCAAACCATTATGTGATACACCTTAAATGTACACAGTGCTATATGTCAATATCTCATATAAGGCTGAAAAATAAATAAAAGACGCCTCTTGATAGCACACATGTTAATTCCTGGGTGTTTGCTGAGGGCCTGCCATGTGCCGGGCTTAACATGGGAGCAACGAGGCGATGACACCACAGTTTCTGCCCTTGAGTAACACAAATTATCACGTGAGGGTGTCCGACGTTTTCAGCCAAAGTCACGTAAGTCCACCATTAAGAGGCATCTCCTTAGTTGACTGTACATGTACTGAGTCTGTGCATTGATGTGAACAACAAAAAACTTTCAACTGACCTCCAGCTGCGTGACAGAAGTATCTGACCCAAAGCAGGAGTGACGGCTTCACTCAACTCTGCCTCCCCCCATCAGGGCTGCTCCGGGAACATCACGTCCAATCTGCACCTTGAAAGGACTGACCAATCTCTCTTACGAGGGACACACAACCAAGTACCCACAAGCACTGTTCTCCTCGCCTGTTAAGTCCAAAGCAACCCATCAGGATTCACTGTTTTGGAAAAAAGAAATGTGCTTGCAAAAGCATTTCAATTTAAATTTGAGGGTAAAACAAAGATTTTTTTTATATCAAAGTATTCAGAAAGTTTGTCTTTTGTACCTTCTTTGAAAGACTTACAGGAGGATATATTCTAGCAATCCAGGGTGAATCAGCATGAACACACACAGGGTGTGTTTCCCTCCCACACCAAAATCAACAAGGAAAACTAGAAAATGCCACATGTCTATCCAAGAAGACGGACAGCGAACAGTATGCTTGGGGACGAAGGGAAAGGGAGATTACAGATATTTCTCTCGATGTTGGTAAAGTTAAAAAGTGTATTTAAAAAGTTTAATGCCAACCCTGACTCGTGACAGAGGGAATCCATCAATGTGACCATAGGCAGGGAAGTCGCTGGGGGTGGGGGTGGCAGGTGGACAGAGGATGAGAAAAGCCTGGGAAAAAAGATGGCACTAAAGCAACCTAATTTAATAAGTGCTTTGTAAGAGTGTTCTTCAACAAAAATAAAGGAAAGAGCAGAGAGCTACTGAAATTCTGGAAAGCACACAAAATGAAGGGATGAATGAATACAAAGCCTACCTGAACATGGTGTCACGTGAGCAACGGTGAGAAAGTCAAGGGCATTTACCTCGGGGTACGTAACCTGGGGGACAAGGCGGCGGGCGGTCTGCGTGTTTCTGGACAGTGACGGAGGGATCAGATTATTTTAGTGGCCCTAGAGGGAACGATGAGCCCGACGGTGGAGCCCCCACAAGGCCGCAGTCTCCACTCACGAGAACGGTCCCTGCAGAGTCCCCTTTGCAGGGAAGCCAGCAGCGGAACGCGCACATCTCTGTTAGCAGGTTCGTAGCGGGAGAGGCTGTGGGAGCTCCAGGGCTTTGTGCCATGTCCACTGAGATAACATCTTAGGATGCTCAGTGTGGCCTTCCCTCCAGTGCAGCTGTCACAATGGCTATATCCCACAGCGACTCCTATTTTATGACCTCCAGGAAGGAGGACGCATCTAAAATGTTCACAGTGCACAGGAAGGAGATAATGGACCATCTGCTGGTTCCCCAGCACAGTGAGAGAACAAGGTGGCATAACTGTCCACAAAGACCTCCTAAGAGAACCATGACCCCACTGGGGCAGTAAGTGCTGGGAGAGACCATGGAAGAGCCACTCTCCCTGCCTCGAGGAGCCTGTACTCTGGTGACTCTGCCTCCCTTGCTTCAGCACCAGCGTGGTAGGCTCTAGTACAAACCACATCTCACCGCAGTGCCAAACCCAGAAGGGTCCAGGAGTTCAGTTAGTCCCCAGTGGATCAGAGAGGAAGGAAAAGGGGTATCTGATTACATACCAATGGCTCCTCCAAAATCTAAGCCTTTGAGATTTCTTAGTTCTTCAAAAGTCATTCTAAGTCCCACTCGAAAGTCACACCTCACACAGGCATTTGGGTATACATTCTGCACTTTACTAATATTTAGTTCATCCTAGGAAATTCCTCAGCGAATTGGTGAGCCCTCTAGTTTAAAGCAACAACAAGGAGGGATTTGGTGACAGCTGTTTTCCATTAATTTCTGCTATTAACTTTCTGAGTTGGTTCCACTATAACCAAATGTTAGAATTTACTGCAAGGCACAACCCCGCTGAGTGAGCCGCTGTACCTCTTTAATAAAAGAAGGACACAGCTGACAATTTAGAAACAGCTGGATGCAATTTGGATACAGACCCAATTGGCCTTCCATCCTTTTGGGTAATTTGGCAAAATAAGTGCATATTGCCCCAAACCCCGGTATAGAAATAGCTGCATTCAATTATTGGGTTGGATAGGCTTCCTGAAAGATCTGGGACTTGGTCCTTCTCTGAAGAACCCAAGGGAGCTCAGGGATGGGACTGAACAAACGTCCATTCTCTTCCCACTTGGGGCTTTGCTGCCGTTGGCCCAACGAAGGGCCAAAGCAAAGGGCTGTGTGTATGGGACACCTGTGTCTCTGCGGGAGGGAGGCTCTGGGCAAGCCCTGCTGGACACAGGGGCCACCTGGCAGGCCGCCGTCAGCCCGCCGCTTAGTAGCCATAACACCCGCCATCCAGGCCGGTGGTCAAGGTGCTCTGCAATGTGGGGCCGGTCAAAGCTGCCCATGCAGCCCTCCCTCCGATGGCCGTGCAGGAGGGGACGCTGCCACTATGCAAAAGCGACCTTCTATAAGCAACCTTGCATCTGGCTGTTGAGTTTTTCGAGACAGAACTTCAGCTTTAATCGGGATAGTTTCACTTCTCTCTCTCTCTCTCTCTCTCTCTCTCTCTCTCTCTCCCTTTGCTAATGTTTTCTTCATTTCCCTACACACATTACCCACATCCTTCTGGCTAAATCACTTGGCACATCCAAAACCTGCTCATCAACATGGAGAAACCTTAAAATTACTATTGTGTTATATTGGTGTTTTCTAAAGGTCATTTTGTGCTCTTTCGACATTCTCCCTAATGCTGAAACATAACAATATTTCAAAGGATATTTATTTAATCTACCGTAAGGAAATGACAAAAAATATAGCCAAAAAACTATATGCAGCATTATTTATAACATCAAAAATTGAAAATAACCTAAATGCTGAAAACTATTTTAATTCTGCTACATTCATTATGGCACTTCACTGAAATATTATAGAGGACAATAATGAAAACAGGGTATCATGAAAATGCTTATGTTAAATGGGAACGAAATAAAATATGAAAAAACAAAGATGTAAAATTATGCTCTCCCAGTTTACAACACTGTAAAAGTAACATAGGACAATGCCGCGGCCATCCTGTGTGCCCTGCGCTGTCATTACAGGGATCAGGTGAGCTAACAAGACAAAAAAAAGTCATATGGCTACAGAACTACACAGATTCTCTACGGTATTAATGTGAGGCATGTCAGGAATGGTCAGTACGTGAGTCAACAGCACGGTCGAAGCTGTAAAGATCACATCCGCAGCAGGAGTCCTAAAGAAAGTGGCCGTTTCAAAAGTCCTGCTTTACAATTTTCACACGGTCTCCTATTCATCTGTGTCAGCGTGTGCAGATGGAAATTCTGTGATGGGGAGCTGGCCATACCAACAGTCCTCCTGTTCAGAGAGTCCTTTAACAAAGCAAGAGCTACCCTTGCTTAAATAAAGGCTTTGTGTCATTTGAGTGAATGAGTAACTGAGAGCAAGAGAGGAAAACGAGAGAGAATGAGAGAACACCCTGGCTGGTGTGGCCCAGTGGATTGAGTGCTGGCCTGTGAACCAGAAGGTCACCGGTTCAATTCCCAGTCAGGGCACATGCCTGGGTTGCAGGGTGATCGATGTGTCTCTCACACATCAATGTTTCTTTCCCTCCCTTTCTCCCTCCCTTGCCCCCTCTCTAAAAATAAATACATAAAAATCTCAAAAAGAAAAGAGAGAGCCCTGGCTGGCATAGCTCAGTGGATTGAGCGCGAGCCTGCGAACCAAATGATCATGGTTCGATTCTCAGTCAGGGCATGTGCCTGGGTTGCAGGCCAGTTCCCGGCAGGGGACTCATGAGAGGCAACCACACATTGATGTTTCTCTCCTTCTCTCCTTCCCTTCCCCTCTAAAGATAAATAAGTAAAATCTTTAAAAAAGAGAGAGAGAAATCTACTTTAGGAGGTTAACTGAACTGTCCGAGACTAGCAATCTTCCCGAGGAACATGGAGCTGTGCTGACTGCGGGGGCTTCTCCACGTGGCACTGCAGACCCCGGGCGGGATACTTCTCCGTAGTGAGATCTGGGATGACACTGACCAACTGACCACCCTGCCAGGGCGGGTGTGTCGGTGTTTCAATTTCATTTAATTCTTTACTTCATTCTTGATATTCACAATTAACTCAAAATTTGGTTTTCTTCTCTCACGAGGCTTCCACCTCTTCTCACTGGGCCCTGTTTTTGTGCTTTAGCTTCCTGGGTTCACCCCCGAGTTCCCCAACTCGAGGATGCCAGCCGAACGGCAGCCTTCTAGGCTCGTTTACTCTGGCATTTTCCATTTGCTCTGCTGTCTCTAGATTCTCATTTCCCCCCAGCACATTGGTCATTTTTGCCACTGGTGAGTCATTTGCTCTGAGTCATGCCTGGCTGTGGAGCCAAGGCCAGGGAAGTGCCTCATAACACACCTGGTTGACGACAGGATGTCACGGAGGGATGGGGTCTATGTGCAGGCGCCCGTTTCCTCAGTGCATTTGGTAAGGAGGAGAAAAAATGGCCCTTTCTTTCTCTTTTCCTTCAGAGTTACCATTTCTCTCAGCATCTGTGGAAAGAGCCTTAGTCAATTAGTTTCAGAGGCAGGAGGACATTTTCGGAATGAAACTGGACACCCCAAGGATGAAAGCAGGTCTTCTTGGACAAGGTTCTTACTCCTGGACCACTCCCCCCACGCCCTGCCCCCAGAGCGGTGAACGCGCTGTTCCGCACAGGCCCCCAGGCAGCACACACAACTGAGAAGACGAGAACGGTGCCCGCCAGGGGAGACCGGAGAGGACCCCCAAATGCACCCTGGCACCCAGTCTGGATCCTGGAGCAGAAAGCGGCCTGGGTCTGCGCGCCACTCCTGCCCTGACGAGCTGTGTGCGGGAGGCACATCACGCTGTCTCTCCATGATGCCTCGGTCTCACCTTCTGTGAAATGGGGACGCCTCCGTGAACAGTGGCCACCCCACAGTGTTCTCGCGGGGGTCAAAGTGACAACCCCCACACAGTGCACCTGGCACATTGCTGGGCACGGCAGAGCCGGCCCAGTAAGGATGAGCTACAGCCGTCGCCCCTCACCCCTCAGGAGGGCGAACTGCCCCTCCTGCCTCTCCCGTCCCCCTCGTCCCTACCAAGAGCTCAGTTTAAGGAGCTTGACTCTGAAAATAAAAGCTCCTTCCCTGCACTCTCTCCTCCAAGCCTCAGATTTTACCATTACAGACTCATTTCTTCTAAGCACCGTCCTTCCAAGAATAAAACTCTTGGCAGAGGTGCCACCAGCAATTAGCACGTGGGAACAAACAGCTGACCGGGTCTGCACAGAAGGGGCTTTGAAAAGGCAGGAGGAAGAATGGAAGCACAGCCCACAGGGAGGGCTGGCGGCGGGACTTGGGGACGCTAAAGGACGCCAGGTCCGTGGAAGGAGACACAAAGGAATGGCGGGATGATGCCACTGGGGACAAGGCCGGGAATCTGGGGGGTAGGGAAGGCACAGCCAGAAACGACTTTTCACCGGTTTTTTAAAAAGATTTTATTTATTTAGTTTTAGAGAGAGGGGAAGGGAGGGAGAGAATCATCAATGTGCTTGAGAAACATCGATCTGTTGTCCTTTGCACACCTCCAACTGGGGGGGACCTGGCCTGCAACCTGGGAACATGCCCTGACTGGGAATCGAACCCATGACCTTTCTGTTTGCAGCACAAGCCCATCCCACTGAGCCAGTCAGGGCTTCACTGAACTGTTTGTATCATTTGAATCTTGTAGCATCTATATGTGTTACCTAATAGAAACTAATTCAATTAAATAAGGGAGAGGAGTACCTAATACTGGGTAAGACAGAGCCAGAAATAAAAAGGTCTCTGAAGGCGAAGGTGTAAGTCATTTCGGAATTTGGCTGGCAGCCTGCCCTGCTCTCACCCACTCCCCTACCCCCTCACCATCACCCCCAAATGAGAAAAGTTGCGTTATGAACTCCTGAATGGCTCGTTTTTTAGAACATCAGCAATACCCTTTCAGGGTCAAAATCTGAGACACTGAAACTCAGAACTCTCAAAACCTTACAAAAAGCCGTTCAGATTCACTGTGCAAGCTCCACAAGGGAGAGCGAGTCCACTGATGATGTCACCCCCTCAGGGCCATCATGTGAGGTCTACCGCCGGTGCGTCACGTTCCGCCGCCCCACGTACTTCACCGTTGGGCGTCAAGGAGCTATTCCTCCAGCACAGGACCGGGCAAAGCAAAAGAAGGAAATATGAAAGGAAATGATTCCTGAAGGGCCCCCGCAGAGCCATGGAAGAAACCCCGTTTCCTACTGCACCCCAATTAAGATGCACCTCACCAGAGGGGGCGGGGAGGGAGGCCTTGGGTTTTGTAATCAGAGTTGGGAGGTTCATCTGGTCCTGCATGACCCCGGGCAAGTCATTCAATTGCCCCGACCCTCACCCTCCTTACCTATGACACGCAGAGATCTCTGCTTACCTTGCGAGTTGTAAGGAGCATGGAAGTTTTATGCACAAATATCCAAACATTATCATCCCTACGCCACTATCCCTGAAAATAACCCAGCAGCTCCTTCTAGTTTTTCCTTTTAAAAATGTCGCTGGATCCTGAAGTTGGGAGGTGTTATGCGTTGCATCCACTAAAAACATATGTTGCAGTCTTAACCCCCTGAAGCTGTGAATGTGGCCCTATTTGGATACAGGTCCTTTGCAGATGTAATTAGTTAAATTAAGGTAAAGTCACAGTTGAATAGGGTGGGTACTAAATCTAATCCGACTGGTATCCTTACAAGAGCGGAAGCTGAGACACACACAGGGAGAAGGCAGAGAGCCAGGGGCAGAGATGGGAGGGATGCAGCTGCAGGCAAAGGATGCCAAGGATCGCTGGGCATCTCCAGAGGCTGGGAGAGGCACGAGCAGACTCTCCCTCTGAGTGTCCCAGGTTGCTTGCCAACACCTCGATATTGGATTTCTGGTCCCTGCAACAGTGATAGAATAAATTCCTGTTGTTTTAAGCCACCCATTTTGTGGCACTTAGTTACAGCAGCTCTAGGAGACTAACACAGGAAGTTCTCTGGTTTTACTATATGTTGAATGTGTGAATTCTCCTGCCCAAAGGTCAGCCAGTCAGCTTATGTATGACCGCCTCTAGTAAAAAACAAACAAACCCCAGCAGTATCTACCAAGGAAGCAATCTCTCCCATCTATGAAAAGGTCTGACTGTCATAAATACCATTCATTCAACAAATGTTTATTGGGCGCCTACTGAATGTCAGAAACTGTTTGGAGCACCGCTGAGACCGTGGTAAATGGGGAGCAGACAATAAAAGAAAACATTCTCAAATAAGGACATTTTTGATATTATTATGAAAAAAATAAAACAGTGTAATTGCATAGAGTGAGTAAGTTAGGACCCAAGAAGAAATTATCTTGATTGTTAGGGAATGTCCCATTAAAGATGTGCTATCAGAGCAGTGATTTCATCACCAGGAAGCCAGTCATGAGAAAATCTGGCAGAAGGAACCCCCAGTGCAAGGGCCGTGAGGCAGAACAAGCCAGGCATGTTCGAAGCACAGAAGAAGGTGGGACTTCTGTGAGTGAGAGTGCGGTCGCCGATGAAGCTGGAGAAACAAGCAAGGTCAGTCAGTAGACCAAGTTTCACTTTGACCCCATGAGTACTGGGAAGCCTCAGGGGTGAGGCACAATTTGACTCACAGGTTTTAAAAGGTCACTCTGACACAATCAAGTTCTTACAACTGAAGTCTTTCTCACTATAACTTTTGTCCTTTGGCTTTGGGGATCTTGGGCCTGCCCAGAACAAATCTGATAAATGACAGTCCTGAATTTTCTTTAGGCTGGCTCCCAGGATCCTCCTGGCTTACCAGCTCTAAATCACTCCCCACTGCATCCGTTTCCAACGAACATACTTGATTTCCCCCCTATACCCTTCATGAAATGTGTTGTCTAGAAAAGAACACAATATTCTAAGGATGAAGCAGACTGGGACTATCACCTCTCTCACTCCAAGTCTATGGATGTGCCCCAACTTCACCTTGCTTCAAAGTTTGTTTTGTACCACTGACCTGCTGAAACATTATCTACATAACTTCCCACTGAAGTCCCTTTTTTGATGTCTAGATCTAGAGAAAGGGGTTAAACCTTGTTCTTCCCTAATGAGAACAGCTGTGCAGTGTGTCTCTTTTTTTTTAAAGTGTCACCATTACCCAAATGATGCCATATATAAAAAACACTGGATAAAAGAAACAAAACTACTGGGTTAGCTTCTGAAGTTTCCCAACACTGCATTTCTCCTCCGGATGGAGGACGAGGAAAATAATTATGGCAAGTTTCCCTATAATTGCTTCGGTCTCTTGCACCACACAGCTGAAGACACCTAGACTATTAGGAAACACTGAGCATTGAGAAAAAGACACTCCCTGCAATCATACTTCCTACTAGATTTCTCAAAGACTCATAAACAAATCTGAGCAGACGCGGACTATCTCAAGCTTGGGGTGGGGAGGAGTGATGAAGGTGCATGTGTACCAGCAAGCTGAGCTGACACAGTAAGCAGGGCAAATGGTGGGAGAGAAGGACGCTTTGCCAGCAGACACTGGGAAAGCCCCGTGGCCTGAGGATGTGTGGATTTTCTGACCGGATCCTTCCCACATCCCTTTCCACATCTGGTGTCAGATGGCTGGGCTTAACACTTTGCTTTGCCTCCTGGGACCTAAATGACCTTGAGCAAGTCATTTAGCTTCAGTGTCTTCATCTGTGACACTGGAATGAGGACACCACCTGTCACTCCAAGTCTACTGTGAAGATCAGCTATGGTCCTGTGTGTGAAAGCCTCTGTAAAGTACTGCCATGTAAAACTGAGGGGGTTATTATCGGCAAGAGGATTTTTACTCCTCCCTGTGCAGCTCTTTCCTGCAGCCAGTTGCCTTTTCATGTATCTTTGTTATCTTCCAAGGCTGCTTTTGATGTTTCTTTTAACCTGATTATTTTCTTTTTCGAAAGGAGAGGGAGGGAGGCATGGAGCATAACTCATCCCACTCTAACCCTTTCTTAAAGACTGTCCTATCAGAAGTCCCTACAGCGCCATTTGGAGTCACCATAAAGCAATTAACCTCTGAAGAACCAAAGTTATTGTCATGAAAAGAGAACCACATCTGCTCTCTGTGAATATTCTCCACTTTCTGGAATGCTGTAGTAAATTGGTCATTTACTAATGCCACTGAGTAGCTTTTCATTGTCTTTACTTGTTACATCCTCAAAAAATACAAACTATCTTCACATTAACTGACACAAACACTGCAAACAAACAAAAGCATGGGAATAAGTTCCAGAACCAAATGAGAGGCTTAAAATAATCTACTGATCACTGAGAGTGCCCACGTGTGTACCTTTAGCTATCTTCATTTCTTTAATGGAAAAAGAAAATCTCATGAGTCAACATTTTCACTGTGAGCCGAGCTCAGCAGCCTATCGCCCGCATGTCATATGTGTAAGCAGTCCTATACATCTGAACAGAGTGGGAATGAAAATGAGTGAGTGACAGCCAAAGGGAAAGACTCTGAACAATGGGGGGGGGGAGGGCATACACTTCCAAACAGAAATATGAGAAGTCAGGAAGGAGCACTCACATGCAATACAACCTAAGTCTCCTTTTTTTCTTTGCTTAATTCAGTGTTTAGCATCTTGGCTGCCCTGGTTTAGGCTTAAGGAGGAAATTGGTCTAATAAAATGTATCTGAAACATTAGCATTAGGTGACAATGGCTTGATGGCAGGCTGGCCAAGGCAGCCCAGTCCTTGACAGATGTCAGCTTGCCTTGAGCACTGACTCACCACAGCTACAACTTCCACGTCAGGGCTCCTCACCTGTGCCAGCTCAGAGGCAAGTTCCTGCTCATGCCCCAGGTCAGCACCCTTGCCTAGCACTTAACCAGACTGTTGGAGGAGCTGGCCAGTGCCCACTGCCAAGTCTTTACCCTCTTGCCGGTTTCCTTCTCCCAAATCCAATCCACATACAACCTAGGGAAGCACAAACCCAGTACAAGGGGAGAATGTTCCCAGCTCTAGGAAGCCCAGTCCTTCCAAAGACCCTGGACACTGATTCAGTCCATCCTGAACCAGAGGTCTGACACTGAGCTTGTAACACCGCATTTGTACTGCTGTGCCCTCTGCAGACCTCCTCTTTGCTTAATGGCTTGTGGGGAAGAAGGGGAGCCCTGGGAAGGCACAGGCAGAGTTCACAGGGCAGGCACCCAGGGCACAGCCTTTTCTCCCATGCCTTTACACTTCATCCATCTGCCACCTCGGGGCGGAGAGGCAGCAAACTTAAAACTGAACACACACGCACGACTTGGCAAATACCTTTCCCATCTTGGTTCCAGGAAACCCCTCCCCAGCAAGCCTTCCCAGGACTCTGGGGGTTCTTCCCCCACCGGCAAGACTAAGGAACCGGCTCCATCCCAAAGCCACTTGACGACACCATCTGCCACCGGGAGTGGGGACATCTTGTACAGTCCCCGATACCGTGGGCTCTCCTTCCTATTTCTTCACTCCCGCCCCCAGCACGCGCGGACCCTGCAGGAATCCCTGCGGCCCAAGGCCCCCGACCCTGCATCACCCCGTGACCCTCACCCTTCCCTCCGGACCCCGGAATACCCCGAGCTATCGTCCCGGGCGCTCCGGCTCTCGCCCTTCCGAGAACTCCCGCGCTGCCCGGGGACCCCGGGACCCGCCTTCCCTCCCACGGACACCGACGGGGTCCCTCTCACCGTGACAGGCAAAGACAGGCGAGCGGACAGAGTGAGCCGGCGCCAGATGTCTCCGCGGTGCAGCCACTGCACTGGCTCTAGAGCCGGGTCCTTCCGAGGCGCCCGCCCGCGCGAGCTGTCAGTCAGGCGGCCACGTCCGCCCCAGGCCCGGTCTGCGCAGGCGTGTGGGCGGCGCGGGAGCGACGTCACGTGACGGGACGGGGCGCAGCCACAGTCCGCCGCTCGCGAAAGTGCCGGGCTCCGGCCGTGGCCGCACCGCGGCGGGGGCCTTGGTCCCCAGCTTCTGGGACCGCGCCCGATTTCCCGCGGGTCGCTGTTATAGAAGGTCCCGGGAACCTCGTTCCTTGGATCTGCATAGAGCTAGGATGTTCTCCCGGGCCAGGAAAGGCTGGCGGGGGCAGCCGCTCCGCGAGCAGGTGGGCGGGCAATTCGGTGATGCCTGGTGCTGGTTGCTTCCCTGCTGTGAGTGTCCTCACCCCTAAAATACCATTTGCCATTTCCTGCCCGCCGCCTGCTCCACGGTTAGGGTAAAGTCAGGGCATGAATGAACATACTGTAAATACAGGACAGGGATGCATAGTGTAGAAGGGCAATTGGAGGCCGATTTTTTTATTTTTTATTTTTGAAAGAGGGCGCCTTAAAGTCTGATGGGTTCCACCTCATCCTGCTCCAGAAGTTCTACCAGGCTACATCTATTTCAGCAAACACGAACAATAAACACAACTTCCTATGGAAGCCTTTTATAATTTGAGAGGAAGGTAGTGTAGAAGCAGAAATTGACATCTCCTCCCCAGTAAGTTTGGGGTTGTGTCAAACTTGGTTCCCACACCTAGCAAAATTAAGTATCTGATTCTGGAGTACGGGCTCCACACCTCAGGCTCCAAAGACATTTCCACAGCCACACTGCGGAGCTATCTATAGTGCTCTTTCTGGAGGTTGCTTATATGAAATAATAAAGCCCTGTCTTTAAATAAAGGCAGTGGTATCTGAAATGGGGCTAAACGTTAATTTTAGAAAACTGGGTTCTCTGAAATTTTAGGAGTTGTGCAGGAGGAACTGGAGTCCTGTCACTTATGAGAAAAGATGACACAGATGGACCATCAGGCAGCTTTCCCCTGCCCCGAGTGTGGAGCTGCTGGCCCCTGGGAAGAGGACCTATGGAACTCAGATTTGCTGGGGAAAGTTTAAGGAAACCACATGAAGAAAAAAAGCTGGAAGCTGAAGTTTCACAGGAGTTTTGGGGCCTTCAGCGCCATAGTGCTTCTGGTCCTTCCCAGATTTGCTTGAGCAGCTTGGTATGGCCATCATGTATGAGAACCTAGCTCTCTGAGTGTTTCGAGTTTGGTGTGAACTCAGGCAAGGAAGAAGTATAGCCTTCACTTCCTCATGAGGACACCACAGTGAGGTGGACATGCTATTGGTTCCTGTTAGTTCTGACCTGTGTCCCGCAGAATATGAGCCTGTCTTGCATACTTTATGGAAACAGTGGAGGATTCTGTCTATGGCTGAAGGAAGTCCTCCTTTGGTTCAGTGAGTGAACCTAGCACAAGGCACCACATCGTGCAAGCCTGACCTGGCTGGTGATACCAACTATTCAGGGAAATTGAAAAGAGTGAGCTCATTCAGGGTCAAATTCCATGTGGGGGAAATATGACTTCTCTTCAACAGAGTCAGATGGACCTTCTCTCTTCTTATTTCATTAAAGTTCTGACCTTGCCAGAGGGTTGGAGAGAGGCAGATGACCCAGCCATTTTTAAAAAGGAGAAGAAAAGCAAGTTCGGCAAACCACAGACCAGTGAATTGACATTGGACCTGGAAAATGTTCAGAACAGATTACTCACAAAAAATATGTGTCCCTCAGAAGAAGCACCAGTGAAAAGACTGAGTCATGCTAGGTTAACCTTATTTCTGTTGTGAAATGTATAGACTGGTATATCAAGGACACGTAGTAGAAGTAGTATATCTGGACCTGGGAAGTATGTTTACCAGGATTCTTTCAGTTATAAGTGACAGAACTCAATTCATACTGGTTTTTTGAAGCAAGGGACTGTATTGGCTCCCATAACCAAAAAGTTCTGGGGTTGGTGCAGAAAGATCTAGGAGGTCAAATGATGTTATCAGTCAGAACGTAGGCTCTTTCCCCTTCCTGGCTGCATCCCTTTGGGCTGGCTTCATTTTCAGATTAGGTTCTTCTTATAGAGTGGTCTTGAGTAGCAACAGGCTTATATTCTCTCAACTTAGTAGCCTCAGTAGAAAAAAGGATTCTCTTCAATACTTCCAGCAAAAGTCCCAGGATTTGGAATTAGTAGACCAACATCACTCAAGCACTCATCCCTTCAAACTAATCTGAGGCCGAGTTGTTGAGATAAGTGGATTGGCCACATCTGGACAGGAGTGAGGATCAGATACTTGGGTAAAGAGCAAGGGAAGGGTGGGTCCCCACAGGAAAATGAGATGCTCTTGTGAGGAGAACGGGAGACAGGTTCTAGGCAAGCAAGGGAGAACAGACATTCAGGACAGAACATTTGCTAAGATACCTCATGATGCTGTTTGAAGGACAGGAAGAAAAGGAAAGAGAAATAGTGAACTTATTGGATGACTGAATTAATATTCAAAAATACTTTGATCAGAGAATGAGCCCAAAAAACAATTCTACAAGATAAAACTGGTGGTGACTTAGCATCAGTTCTGTTTCTGGCTGCCCATCATGCCTATTTTTCCCTTCCTTCTTTGTAACACATTGCCACAAACTCAGAGGCTACAATGACACAAATGTATTATCTTTCAGTTCTGGGGGTCAGTCCTAAAACTGAGTTATCAGCAGGGATGATTCTTCCTGGAAGCTCTGGGGAGAATCATTTCCTTGCCTTTTCATTTCTAGAAGCCTCCTGCATTCCTTGGCTCAAGGCCCCTTCTTTCATCTTCGAAAGCAAACTCCTTTAATCCAGAATAGTTATCAGCTTTTTCCCCCTTCAAGACACTAATATGTACTAGGAGTACAGGCCAGTTTTCTGTAGAGTGTCTCTGTTGAGGTTTTTCTGATCGCTCCCTGGTAGAGTCAGGAGTACTGTGGAATTCTGGCAGCAGCACTGTATAATTGATGTGTGCCCCTCTCAGTGCGTTGTATCAGGAGGCACAAACATCAGTGTGCCTCGTTATTGCTGACACTATGTTTGACCAGTGGTTGAGATGGTGACATATTTATTAATTGTGGGGCTTTTTTTCCCTTTGTGATAACTAGTAATCTGTGGGAAAGATGCTTTGAAATTTAAATGTCCTATTTTCCAGTAGTTTAGCATCCATTAACAATAGTATTGGGTTGGCCAAAAAGTCCATTTAGTTTTTCTCTGTAAAATAAAAAAACGTATTTTTCATTTTCACCAATAACTTTATGGATTTGGATATTTTGAGTGTGTCAGCTCTCTCCTGTTATTGGCTTCTAGTGGGTAGAGGCCAGGGGTGCTGCTAACATCTTCCAGTGCATAGGCAGCCCACAGCAAAGAATTGTTTGCCCCAAAATGTCAATAATACCAAAAAACTTCACAAACCACTTTTGACATGTTTGATCAGTTACAGCGCCTTCTCCATACACTGCACAAATCTTTCTTTGCATTTCAGTTGTGTTTTTACCTTTCTTGAAATAATAAAGCATGATACACCAAAAATGTTGCCTATCTTCTTCCATCAATATTAAAATGGCTGCACAAAAATTCACCAATTTTGGTTTCTTAAAAATGCGTGCTGATATGACAGCTGTCACAATACAATCTAACACAGTTGTTTCAAATGAAGTTAAAGACAACTAAGCACTACTAGAGCCATTGTACAAAAAAACTAAACAAACTTTCTGGCCAACCCAATACTATGGTGGGTACAAAATGTCAAGTGTTGTGATTCAACTGCTCCATCAATATATATTAGCTGACATTTCCCTGCATATATTCTTGTCCTTCTCCAGTATGTTCTTCACAAAGCAGCGAGAATGACCTTTAAAAACCACAAATGTGATCAAATCTTCCAGTGGCTTCCCACTGTCCTTCAGATGTGGCTGGAACCCCTCATCTGGTTGTTAGGGCCCTGCGTGACCCGGCCCCTTCTGAGCTCTCCAGCCTGGACTCAGCCACTCCTTCTTCGCCCTGCACACAGGGGCCCCTTACAGAATTTCAAACAATCGACACTGCTTTCCACCAAAGGGCCTTTCCCACCAACTCTTTGCTTGGAAGCTTGTTCCTCCAGCCCCTGCACCCTTTGCTTGGCAGATACCCAGGTGCCCTTCATATATCACATTCTAAAGAAAGCCTTCCTTCCACATGACCCCAGACCAGGCCAGATTCCCAGGTATAGCCTCTCACCACACAATGTTCTCTTACTTTATAAGAACATAACAGTTTGTACGATTACTTATGTGTTCGATTAGTCTCCAAGTTAATAAACATCACAGGCAGGACATGTCTCTGGTTTGGTTTACTTGTGTCTGCAGCACCTAGCATGGTGCCAAGCACAGAGTAAATTATTAAATACTTCCTGAATGAACCGTTATGAGTCTAAGACAAGGCGAGGGTGGGGAAGGACAAGAAGAGGACTGAGTCATTGAAACCAGAGCACAAATGGGCAGGGACTTGCTTCCAGGGGGCTTGGTGGACCAAGTCCTGGCAGCAGGAGCAGGGGCTCATGTCAAAGGCCAGCCCCCGGAGCTCGGGAGAGAGCTGCCCTGGCATAGAGCACAGCCTCTGGCTCCTCAGGGAGTGTGATCCAGTATGAAGAGCAGGACCATCACAGCCAGGCAGGAGGCCGGCAAGCTACTGGGTTTCCTTTGGGCAATTTCGTAGCTTAGTTCCTCAGCTGGACAAAGGGGTCCTACAACTTCCCAGGGATGTGAGGATGAAATGAGTCTGTGAGGCAGTATGACAGCAGCAAGGGACATCTGGCTCTCTGACCCAGCTGTGTGACCTTGACTGAGCACACTGCCTAACCTCGTGGGCCTGTTTCTTCATCTCTGCAAGGGGCTGCCCATAGTGTGTTCATTCATTCCATGCATTATTATTGAGTACCTACTTTCTGACAGGCACTGGGGATACAAGAGTGGATGATACCAACAAAACTCCCTGCCTTTCATGAGGTTGGCATTGCAAT